TCTGTGCGTCAGTCTTCCTGTGTGCTAGACGGGATGAGTGACCTTCCCTCTCGCTCGCTTGCTTTTCTGTGTGCCGGTCATTCTGAGCACTCAGCCGGATGAGTGACCTTCCCACCCGCTCACTTCCCTTTCTGTGTTTCGGTCATCCTCAGTGCTAGACGGGATGAAATTTTGCTCAGTCTCTTCCCTTTGTGGACCCTTTTTGTGTGATAGTCATTCCAAGCGCTTTACCACCACACCAAGTACGGTACTTTCGCGTTTCCATTGACTTCCAGTGAAGTACCAGTACCAAAAGTGCCAAACCAGATGGGGTACTTTTTTGGTACTTCAACATTTTGGGATGGGACTTAAAACACTTTCTTTGTCGATTGGTCAAGCAAATAGCCTACTATTATTACCTCAGATTAAAAAGGTATTTTGTTGAATATACTAATACAGCAGGCATATAGCTTGCTGTCCTAGCGATGTAATTTTGTTATAAATATAGCGATGTGATTTTGTTGTAATAAATATTGGGGTTATTGGTGTTTTTATAAAACAAAAAAGGAGTTAATACATTTCTCACAAACCCGTCTGAGTAATTTAAACAGCAAGATGAAAATGATTACGATTGTCTCGGAGAACATATGCAAAAGCAGCGGAGGTAAAACTTTAAACTTATTTTTAAACATTATATTTATAGATTATAAGAATCTATCAAAGGAATAATAATAAGAATTGCAAAGCTTGTTGAGGTTTTTTTTCCTATGACAAAATAAGAGTAAAAATATTTTACACAAACTTTAACCCCCAGCGCTATAATGTCCGTACAGAATTGAATGTAAGAAAAAGCCTTATTTTAATACAGTTCATGATTCAAAATGAATGTTCTACGGTAAATGTGGCATGTGTTCAGTGGCCTGGTGTCCGTAGGCAGATGGAAGGCATGGTGAACGAGTAGAGCTGCTGAAGTTTGAACCAGGGTTCATGGCCATGTAGATGTCCCTCTTAGAATGAGTGAGCCATTACTTCATGGTTTTATAAGGTGATTTTTACATTAGATGTTTTTAAAGTTGAGTAATTTTTATTTGATTCTCTTTTCTGTAATTCTCTGTGGCAGGTCACGCTAGGATCAGTTGTGGGATGTGTTTGTGTGTCTGCCTGCAGAGGGTATACAGAGTATTTTTAACATTTCAACAACTTATTAGTAAAGATTCAACTATTTGTATAATATTGGTTGAGTAGTCAAATTAAATTATTGTAACAATATGTAAGTACTTTCATGAATTGTTACATATCCTTTATGTACTGTATATTTTGTTAAACATCTACAAACATAGAGAAACAGCTGAATTGTTGAATTTCAACTAAGTTGCTGGAATGTTACAAATACTGTTAACCCTCTGTAGGCAGACTGTCCAGATGAAGTTTTACTAAATCGTTGGCCTTGTTGTGCATACCTGTGTGTGTGCATGCGCATGTGTGCATATTGCAGGGGGTGCCGGACACCTCATTCTCAGACCTCCTGGTGAGAATAGTGAGTGATATGTGTTATTTTAGCTTTCATCCTGACCTCAACAAAGCCACCGCATACAACAATGGAGCTCGTCTCTGAGGCAGTGGGGTTTCCACGACAACCCAGACACAAAAGGTGACCACTTGAGGGAATGCGGGTAGGGGGGGGCAGAGTCACAGGAACAGGGGACGACCTTGGGGGACCACGGAGCCCCCCCGGTCAATGATGAAGTTACTGGGATAGGGGCAGGGTTCGCTGTGTGACTTCAGGCTGACATGAGTGTGTAGAAATGCTCTGTTGAAGTCCCAGTCATCCTCTCCAGCCTCATGGTGATTGATTACCCGGTGGAACCTCTGCTACAGAAATTGCTTCCCACATGCACAGCACTATAGGACCCTTACCTCACACAACCTTACCAAGATGAATCGCTTTGCTCCTTCCCACATGACGACGATGCCGGCGCACGAGAAATCCTCTCGATTCTTTCATGCAGATGCCCTCATGGTCTCACGCAAAAGTATCCCAGCATGCACTGGGCCGCTAGGATGCTGCAGCGTAGGTTAGCCCAGCCCACACCACAATGCGCTCAACGGGTATGCGAGATGTTGCAATGGCAAGACAATGAAGTCACAAAGGATTCAGTAAATCTTTTTCGACACCGTAGACGTTACAAAGGGAAATTCGGTTTCGCTTGCGTTTGGGAATCACTCGAACAGGAAATGGAAAAGGCTGAGTGGGGTTTTCTGTTTTGAGCGAGTCAATATTAGCTGCTTTTCACTGAAAATTAACGGCCTTCCGTCTTATTCTTTAGAAGTAGCATGTAGGAGAGGCAATCATTAGAGACAAGAGGGGCTAGAAAACAATCCAATTATGCTAAAACTGCTTCCCGGCCTCTGAAATAAGCCCCAACGTGTGTTAAGGGCTTGCGTACATCAAAACCTATATTTCTAATCTGAGTTAAATATAGAAGCCATGTGATGCAGTATAATAAATTGTTTTTAGTGTATGCTCGTTATGCTCTAAATTTATCGTATTTTTCACGATTTGAGGTCATCAGCTTCTACAGACGTGGCCTGTCTGTAATCTTGCGTCGCTGGTGAAATTCTAAAGGCGCGAGTGTGCGGGCGAAACCAGACAAAGTCAACCCACCCATAGTATATGTCCCTGCTCCCCCCCGCCTCCCGCCCAACACTGTGGGTCTGCAACAACCTTAGAAGCTTCTCAACAGAATAGGGTTGGTCGATGACATCACCGCTTTATAATGGGAGCGTATGTAGGGAATTCACAATGGCAATGCCGCAGTTGAGGCGGTAGCCAATAGCACGACGGCTATCTAACAACAAAGAACAGTCCCTCCGCTGTTCATTGTGCATCTATGGTGCTCAGTGGCACGGATTCCATTGTCATGGTTCAGAGTGTATGACAGGCAGTGTTCAGATGATCCCTACGCGACGGCCCGGCCATCTTCCCAGTCTGCTTGTCGTCTTGCTGCTTTTCATTATGGCTGCTCTCAGGCTCGGAAGTAGAGTACCCAGAATCCTTCACTGCGTGCGCGCACACACACACACACACACACACACACACACACACACACACACACACACACACTGCTGCTGTCATGCTTCTTCCTGGGAATAGACCTTGCTTATGTGAGGTGCACTTGCATCGTGGATTGCGCCCAGTCCATCTTTCTTGAATTTTCTCTGTTGCTCGATCTCGCTGGCCGGGGGGGTCGCAGAGGTGGGGGTTAGTGAATGGGTAGCCGCAGTCCCCATTTTGCCGTCGCCTGCCATCGAAACACGGCGTGTACGAGCAGGTCAGGGCGATGATAGATGAATACATGCAAGGAGCTATAGATGAACACACGAATGAAACGCTAACAGCAGGAGAGACACGGAAAAAGCATGTTGGGGATGTCGATGGTTGAGGATAACACTGGGATTTTACGGTTTTGAATTTTTTTGTAGGAATTTAGTCGTCTGTCAGCATTATTTGCATTAAAATGTATATCCTTTTAAGAATGATATTCAGTGGTAATATAATTGACAAGCTCCACATTTCTAACAGCTGTTCCGCTCAGAGCCATCTCTTATGTAAGCCTTATGTATATATTGCCTCTTGGTCAGATGTTTGTGTTTCTGTAGACCTCAAATAAAGAGACTTCCTTGTCCTTTTGTCTGCACAATCATTTACATTTTCATTGTTACCGTTCGCCTTTCCAGAAACATCTTCCCACCTTGCACTTTTCGCTCGTATGCCGTGACTCCTTTGTGTCTGTGTGTCACTGCTCCTGACCTTTGACCCTAGATGTCTGGATGGGAAGTTTTTTCACCAACATTTAATTAAATTTAGAGCCAGTCATTGGAAGGTGATCAAAGGAGACTATGGCATTTTCTGCATTAGCTGGTGTTGTTTTTTAAAACTTCAGGGTTTTTTTTTTTATTTTTTAAAGATATTTGAATAAAGCTAGTATGTGTCAATGTAGCTGCACCAACACCACAGTCTGCTCTAACATCCTGGGCTGTTTCTCAATACCAAGAACGCAAAGATCCTACTTGTGGTCTAAGGCAAGACCAGTCTAGCTAACTTGCCTCTCAAGAATGGACTTTGGGGCGCAATGAATTACGGGATTGGACTCATTTAGTGAAGATGCAACCGATGTACCCTTGAAACTTGGGGCGGGCAAGAACGACATCTGGAGATTTTTTTTTTACCATCTTCTGTATTTCTTTGTATTGGAACCGGTCTTCGGCAAAGGAAGATGACGTCAAACGGGGGAGCACAGGCACGGTCAGGTAGGCATTTTCAGAAACAACCCTAGACAGGGCAAAACGCAACTTCCCAACAGCCACCGGGAACAGAGTGGCAGTACCGAGACGCCGACTGCCCCGGGCTGCCCCATTCTGTCCCTGTAGCCTTTGTGAAGTACTCCCCCATCCCAACCCCCGTCACTGTGACGGCCAGCCACATCGCCTTTCCCAAGTGAAGCCGGAACCCTAAATATTCGCCTGTTGTTTCCAGGGACCATGAAGCAGTTGTTAGTGTGGATCAGAGCAAATCTGCTGAAGGAGCGACCAGAGCTCTTCCTGCAGGGAGACACTGTGTAAGTAACACCACTTAGTCAGTGGGCATCTCACGCACCCTGGGCATCTGGATAATCATAGTATGATGTATTGTGACCAGAGCACAGTCCCAAACATTTGAACAACAGATTGACAGATTATAATTTAACAAATCTAAACATAGTGAGTTCTCTATGTATTCACCAGGCAGGATGCTAAATGAACTAGGCCACACAAAGCCTATTGGTCGAATTGAAACTCTGGACTTGGACATCTGGACGTGGTCTTAAGTCTTCCACTTTCCTGAGATATATTGCATGGCTGACACTGGAGGGAGTCAATCAGTGTGGTCTTCAAACAGGAAACTGTCAAGTAAACGCGGGCAGTCTAGCCCAGACACATGCATTCTCAGGGCTAATTCACCCAAGTTCATAAATTCACCTGCTTCTACTCAATTGTTGTCAGCTGACTATTGGTTCTCACTTTCCAAGTGAGCCGATTTCCTTCAAACAGAATATTTTAAGTGTGCAATGCAGTACATTCGGTAAGCAATAATAATTATCATTAAATGCTTCAACAGAACGGGAAAGAACAAAGATGTTTGCATGATTCAGCTGAAAGATATCAGTGTCCATTTAAGGTCGATGTTTCACATTGCGTGAGTAAAAATAGCATTGAGAACTGTTTGCCTTTTATTTGCTAATGTGTTGTTTGCACAGTCCTGTTCTGCATATCCGTTTGCAGTTTGTGTCGTACCTGCTGCTGTGCTGCATATGTTTTTCCCTTTACATCGTTTATGGATGGTGGTTCACATATCAAGTTTGTTGGAATGATACTGTCTGACTGGCTGAGATTTTTCTGGCCCGCTGACATCACCATTTTGAGTAGAAGGGAATTTTTGTATCACGATGAAGATTAACGCCTTTTTTAGTCCAACGGAACGGACTGTTTTTAATGTAGTAGTGTTATATCGGACACAGGATGACACGGTGCACTGTTCAGGAATCCCATGCAATTACAGAGAATTAACTGCCTGAAATTATTCCTTTCTCTTCGAAACAGGAGGCCAGGGATCTTGGTCTTGATCAATGATGCCGACTGGGAACTAATGGTGAGTTTATCTGTCATCCATACGGTTCAATATACTTCCTCGTCACTCTCAGTCCTGTCTTGTATGGAGCTAGCTGGATATTGGGAGTTAAATCATTTAATTATGCAAAACCAATTAAAAGATGGAGGGTAGAGAAGAGTAGACTGTGTTAATCTTATTGTTCCTGGAATTATTTTAGTTTGAATGAATGAGAAGATATGAAAGAACCAGATGAATTGACCAATAAATATATGTATAATTCGATTTAAAGAGAAAAGTATGTTTAAACTAGTGCTTCTTGTGTCGTTTTCTTCTAAAGGGTGAGCTGAGCTACCTGCTTCAGGATCAGGACAATGTAGTTTTCATCTCAACGCTGCATGGAGGGTAGAAGTGGAAGTGCCAAGCTAAGCACTTCATTCTTGGCGCTTAAGCAGCGTTTGTTTATGATGCATCGACTTGAAGCGACTTTCTTGGGCCACTGGAGATCAGCACAGTCAAAAGATTGGGTCTCATGGCAAAGTGACGGCGCTCAGGAAGAAACTGGAATTTCAGGAGACTGTGACATGAGCTGATGAGGAAGATCCTCCTTCATTCATATGTTCCCAATGCAGACTCTTGATTTACTTTTAAGAGCCTTAAATCGATTAAAAGTTCTAAACCAGGCTTTTTAAAAATCAACTTTTATTATAAACCAAAATGTCCACTGAAACCATGTTTTTTTTTTATTTTTTATTAAAATTATTTCAACTCATATGAACGACTGATACCTTTGGGGGGGGGGGTGAATGACAGGTAAGCATGTATTTTATGACGTTGCAGTCAAATGTATACACGTATGTTCAATATCACTAACACACTGCAGTTTATAATCTTACCGGGCGCTGGTGTACATTAAACAGAATGCAAATGATGATCGTTGCAAAAGAAACGGACAATTTTCATACATGAAACATTTTTCATCCGTTTGAGATGACGGTCTGCCCACCGAAGTCTCCAGTAATATTTAACTTTGTAATGAAACAACTGTGCGAAGGAGGCAGAAATTGGCAGCTGTAGTTAGCAGTTTCCTTGAAGGATTACTTGAGGATGCTTTTCTGGTTTCTATGGCCCACCTAGAATATTCATTAGAAGAAGCGACAAGGGCTCTGCGGGAGGTCGCCGTTCTGCCTGAGGCGCTGCCCTCAGCCAGCGCGCCGGCCGCCGGGACTTTTCTCGGAAGTGGACTCGATTTGCAACGGGAAGCGGTTTGATAATGACTACAATAATCCTAATGCACACAAGGAAGAATGGTGGTGGCAGCATTCAGACGTGAAGCGCAGTGTGCCTCAGAGGGGAGAGGCGCTCACAAGCTAGCAGAAATCAGCACGTTTCCTGGAATTGAACTAAGCCACTCGCAAGGATGTTTAAAGTAAAGACCGAGAACATTCTCGCATGGTCTTTAATGGGATAACCTGTGTTCTACAAAACGAGTGTCCAAGTTGGTGTTCTTGCCTGGTTTATTCACATAGAAACGTGATTTTATGATTAATAAATTATCGATATATTATTGCACATGGAAGACTTTTACAGGGTTTTGTATACTTCTAAGGTGTGTGGCTTCAATAAAGCCACTGCATTACGGCCCTTTTTGTCGTCTTTTTCCTTGGGGGGAGGGGGGTGCCTAGGGTAATGGAGAGTAGATTTACTCCGTAAGAGTGAACTGGATCTACAGTACCAAATATCGACGAGCTGTATGTTTATGATTTTGTCTGTGTTTAATGGTGGTCATGGATTGTGGTTATATATGTTTCAATAAAGGACACGCCATTTGCCGCAATAAAAACATAGGCTGCGGATCTTTGCTGCCGTTGGGTACACGGTATATCTAACGCAAAGATAGTTTTATAAATAGCACCTGTGTTAATTAAACCAATACAAGTTATTTATGTAACCATGAAGATTAGAACATGCAAAACTAAAGCAAAGATTTAGAAACATTCGTGGTTTTATTGACCAAAACGGCTATGGTTACCAATAGCAGAAATCATATTTGCTCTTTAAATGCTTTCTCTGGACTAGATTTTTATGTCTTTAATCAATAATTTGCACATCATATACCAGAAAACCTTAAATTACGTGACTAACGCCGTTTGGTTTAGGTGTCACCTCACACTGCCTTAAATATAACCTAATCGGCCCATATATGTCTAAGAATATGAAGCCGGTGGGAAATAAACCTGTGCTACAAATGCTTGTAACTGCGCTATTTTGCTAAATCACGTGCAGTTAAGTAACAGCGGCTGTTCGGGGCATCTTTGATAGGCGAAGCAAGAGGCGATTTCGCGAGCCAATGGAGTTCCGCTCCGGCAGGCCCGCATCCCCTCGCCGACGCGCCGCATCACGACTGTCAGGCGCCGGAGACCAGCGTGCATCGGCAACACGCACGATCACGGTTGTTACTGCGGCCAGACCAAAATCACCAGCGGAAATCCCTAACCATCCCACGCGAAAATCACAGCCCGCTATTGGTTTATCCAGAACGTATTAATAAAATGCCATAATATGTACGATCGTTTCTGCTACAAAACTACCTCACCATAGATAAAAGCCTTCATTACTGTAATCCTTTTATAGACGGGAAATTTGAAGTATGTTTACTTCGTTTATCATGGACAGATACGCCCAACGAAAATCGCCCAGCTTTAAATCAAAACTGGTGAAATGGGATCGGCCTGCTGGGAGGCAAATCGGAAAGTCTAGGAAGAAATGCCAAAAAAATCCATGCATTGGCTCCCCCTCCTGTTCTTACTGTGCCCTTTACTCTGTTACTTAACCTTGGTAATAAAGTCATTGATTAACAAATGATGTATATTTTCCTTCGTTTTAAAAATGGTATTCATTATAGGTTGTGTAATTGACCTGACCTATAGGCCACCGCTGAACACAGCCAGCCTCTTAACTGTCTGTACAACGGCTCAAATCCGACGCTTCTGGATCCTTACACGGCCTACTGACCCAGTACGGCCTATTTTACTACGCCAATATATTCATTTTTTTTAAATGCCTGGTCACAGTTTCAGACACATGCAGCTAAAATCACACGTAGTTCAAACACCTTCCCCTTTTCCTCTCTATACTCTACTCCCGTATACCTCTGATTGACGCCGCGTATGGCGGAGCTGACGCTACGACGTTACACATAATATCCTCCATTTCCTATTGCAAATAGGCTATTGTTCTGAAACCGAAGCACAAGCGCTTGCAAAACATACGAACCAAGCACATCGTTTCCCGATAAAAGGAAACATTTGTTCCTATAAAAAATTTAATCAGGAAACGAGTTTAGAACAGCATTCTAAATAACGCCATTTTAATGTAAATATCCTGGCATTAATTTAATATAAACGGTAACATATCGTTTAGCATTTGTTAATTACAAATATGTGGTATCTAGACATTTAAACATCGAATTGAATCAAGTTTCACGATATTGTATTGTATAACATATACAAGGTACAGTAATCCATCCTGCTTTTGTCATTTAATGGTAGCCTAAGTGCGTCCCAGTGACAGAAACACTTAAAAGATAGGGTAATGCATCCTGTAATTTCAAAGCACTGTAGAAAAGCGTATTTTATCATCGAACGCCATGTGGATATTTTGAAAAAGTACGTTACGAGCGCTTTTACTTACACCTGCCAAATAAAAACAGCCTTTCCTCTCGTATCCGTTCGTCAACTCGCTAAAAACGTACGTGTGTTTAATCAGTCAAATCAAGAAATCTGTACCTCAAGTGAATGTACCCATGGAATACCAATAGGCCTACCTGTAATTATTATTTAACCATCAGTTAATTAATTATAGACAAGACGTTAAAATGCCTATTGGTAAACATGAAGAATCACGTGGCCTGATTAGCAGGTTTTAAAATTCACAGCAAAGTTAAAACTGTTTTAGTCTTGTGCTTTCTTAGCACGCAATAAAAAAAAATACAAAAAAGCTATTGTTCAAATTTATCAAACATGACTACCGATGGTACTGTCTTTAAAAAAATATTCTGAATAATCAGTATGAAAAACAATACAGGTCTCTCCAAGTACCTATAATCAAGAAAGTTAATTGGTTTAGACGTGTATACGTTTTAAAACGAATAAGTTAAAATATACATATGCAAACATAATTTTGTAACATCGATTGAGTTTCTTAGAAACAGACACCACCTGGATAAAAACACTGGAAGGCCTAGTTAGAAGGTGGAGTATAAACACAGAGGCAGAGGAGTATTACTCAGCTGGATGCTGAAAACAAACACCAATTGACTAATTATGGTATTGTAACCAGAATACTCTTTAAAATGCCTGAGCATTTTAAGAGTGATTCTCCCTGTCTCTAATTAGCGATTGGTAGGACCCTTCTTTTAAGGGGAATCCCACACAGTCGGCTGTTTGACAACAACATAAAATATTACTTGGCAACGACATTAACTATCATAACGTCAGGCGAAAAGCACACCTGAAATCTTGCTCAGACCTCACAGTTAGCTCTCAGCATAACTTAAACTGCAACCAGGAGCCATTAAAAAGCATCACTGACGTTTCCTTCTTTTGCACATAGCTTAGCTGACACTTGCCCGCGTGAAGGAGTACATAAATATGAACATCACCATCATCTTTTACTGGACGTTTGATACATATTTAAAAAAAAAAAAAACATAAATATCCGACAGATTATTTTCAACACTGATAGAATCTTTTTTCATCAACTTTTATCAATTTAATAAACAATGAGCTGGCTTGAAGCTTAAATCATAAACCATATTCTAAGGTTACTGGTGACCGCAACATATGCGTCCGCATGTGTGTGTGATTATATATATAGTTCATATGTCGAACTATCTTAAGATATTGATATAATTCATACATTTAACTGATTCGTTTCTGTTTTTAATTGGTGAAATTCTATTCTTGATTACACAAAATAACTCAATAGGTTTAATAGCAGAATAATGAAACTATAAAAAAGTAAACAATTTCAGCTGCTTACCTGAACTGTTATTTCTTTTAACATGCTAAGACATACATTTTGGTGTGTAAAACATGTCATCTGACAGAGAGATTTTAGTGTGAAACGAAGACGAACTGGAACCTCCAGCAACAGATGTCCAGGCACAATTCTTGGGTTTTCTGTGTAATTTCACAAGAATTGCGTTTGGACAATCAATTGCTAGGACTCAGCTTTTTCTGCGGAATTATATACAAAAAAAAAACAGATCCCACAATAACCGTACAACGAAAACATCAATACAAAATAATCCCTGGTCAGTTTTCAGATGAAGCACAGCTCCTTCTAATTAATATTCAAATGTAAAATAATTTATTTCTACCAAATCACGTTTCCGTCTTTCCTGGAAGAAAAAAACTTCATAGACCAGTTTGCCTAAAGATGCACATAACACACAATCGCGCGACCTACAGCCGAACGTCCATTCATCTCTGCAAGATTATTTCTGTTTGTGCTCAGTTTGTATCATTCAATTATTCTAAGTTGTTTATAATCAGAGAATTAAGTTGTACTCATGCAAAAGAAACTGCATCCATGATGAATATAAATTAAGCTTTTATCTTTAAGCATAATGAAATATTTCAATGAAATGTATTTAAATAATAAATACCTAATAAATACACATATAATAAAATCCCACAAAACTTATCAACAACTACAGTTGTTCTTTTTTATGAAGTGGGAAAGCATTTAAATTAAAAATAAGTATATTTATTTTCTGACGAAAGTACACGGGCCTGTTATTTTTAAATTTGCGTCATTCGGCAAAACTGATGCCCAAGCAGTATCACTGAATATATACGTGTTTAAGTTTTGGTAGCAGGATTACCGTTTTTTTCGTAGCTTATTTCAAGAAAAGACGGCATAGAAACAAACTTTAACATTTTAAACATCCTTGGTAAAATTCTACTCCTCCATCCTTCTAAGTCATTTGTGGAGCTTCTCTCTGAATCATCTCGAGGGTCAGAAAAAATACTTTAAACATCAAGCACGCGACTAGACCTTCTTCAAAGTCCAGGTTGTTGTTCTGGCTGCATTTCGCCATTTCTGCACCTGTAAGGCGCATATTCGTGTAAGTCTCCATATCGCGTCATCGAAAGAATCAACCAGAGTCCTCTTGCAGTCTTAAAACAGCACAATTAAAATCCATCTTCTTCGTTAAAGAACAAGATGGATTTAA